TTTTTTTTTCTTTTTTTTCCTGTTTCACGTCACCTGTGTACAAGCGTTCGTTTTTCTCCTATGTCAATTGCGAATCGCGCTGCACGTGACGCGCGTCAATTAAACGGATCATTGCTCGTCCATGGATGACGAAAAAACTTAGGAACACTGTTAGGGTTGTCGTAAAAGGTGATTACGTAACGAAGTTAAACTCCAACATTTCTGCGGGAAAAATGTTCCGTAAACTTTCCGTTTTAACAATGGCAATTAGGAAAATGTTTGAATGGAATCACGCCAACGTGTAATTTTTGTAAATTAAGCCGGGGAAACGAGAGGGTAGAACCACTGGTTGTTAACAGCAGGGATGATCGTTAAAATAATTCGTAATGAGACGATTACTCGACGTTCGCTTTTTAACGAGGTTTATTCGAATTTATAATCGAGAATTGCACGCAGAGTGCTATAAAAATCGAACTGAAAAATTCCAGTGTAAATTCGCTGATGATTCGCTCTCGCGAAGATCGACACTCGTTAACGCCTAACTTTCGTCCCACTCGTCGAAAATTTCATAAATTATGTAAATTACCGAAAATTAGCCGAATTCTGATAATACGCGAAATTTTTTCCTCTTTCACACGTTTATTCGTAGTGGAAAATTGCTGTTTTATTTTTCACGAAGCTGCCCCAGGCAGACATAATGAAAACGATATCAAATTCGAGGATACGCGGCCTCTTCAACGAAAATGCCATATTTCTAGGAAAATTAGGCCAATCGTTTATTCGGCAATATATGAAACACCTTCTTTGTTATTTACAGCGCAATAAAAAGCTCGAATAGGTTTTATATCGAGAACGCAGGAATTTATCGAGCAATCAATCGACTGCTCCATAAAGCAAGCTTTCATTTTATGAAACAGGAAGACATAATTTTGAGGAATCTCCTTTGCTCAAGGTGCATACCTCGTCTCAATAAGAACAGCCTTTCATACCATCTTGAGGGACCATTTCTTTCATGGTAGAAGCAAAGACGAAACGCGATCGATGATAAATATATTTTCGAATTTTATCTTCTCTCGCGTTTTATTTTATGTACGATTCAATTTCGCATACCTTTCTACTTTCTCGAAATAATATCACGCGACTTAATACAATTTGATACACCGTAAAAGCGAGTGCTATTTAATTTAGCCTGACGTAGATCTGACCGAACCTGAAACATTAATTTCGCGTTTATATCGAATCGACTATCGTAACGAATGATCGCAATTCTTGAAAAATCTACATAGCAACAAGGACAGTTTATGACTCGCGCTATGAAAGATCACAATTTCGTCGCTTCGTTCGAAAAAAAAAATATTTTTCGCGAAGAATTTGCAATTTTTAATCCCCCGACACGTGACACGTGTTTAGAACTTCTGTAATTACAAATTGCGAGCATAGAACGGGAAAAATAAGAATTCCGAGAACGAGATCGAATTATAAATTTTCCGAATAATCATTTCTTTGGTGAACGTGACGGTTTGTTAATGAAAGTCAACGTGAAAGAACCGCGTCAAAGATTTTACAAGAGAAATTACTTCGCTTATTGAATTCCTAAGTGTTTATAAATATGTTTATAAATTTACGAAGTCCTGGAACACCATTAATGGTAATGAGTTTCAAGAAACGTGAAGTACATCCGTTTATTTCTAGGACCAAAGTTATATGACTATTTTGATTCGCGAAATAATCGTAATGAGATGGAAATAAGAGTAAATGGTATCGCGTTTGGATTTGTTTTCTTTGTGTTTCGTTGAAAGTAATACCTGGCTTTAAGTCGATTTTATGTTAATAATAACGTTGCAGAACAACGTGAAGAGTGCTTCGACTTTAATATTCTGATGATGTTAAGTATCGAGACGTAACGGACTGGCATGGAAATATTCTCTAAATTAATGGGATTAAACATTCAAGCGTTCAACGAGATTAAGGAAAGTACACAAAGGAACACAACGCGAATATTTATCTCAAAAGGATAAAAATCTGTGAGAAGACCCCAAAGTCAAACGATAATTCAAATCTCCAAATTCATCTAAAATGCGCTTCCATTTGCTATCATTTTTCCGAATTAGCGTTGATTATCCAAATTATTTCGGCGAAATAATTCAGGTCGTGCCGTCTATTAAGGAATGATTCGATATTCAGAGCAATTATTTGTACGAAATTTAATAACGATTCTCGATATCCAATAACGTCCTAAAAAAATGATTCCATTTGTCTCACGTTGTCGCAATGGAGCACGAAAACCTCGAGAAATTTCATAAAAAGTCACGACATTGAAATCGTATTTTATTACCTCAGTTGTGTTCCCGTTCCGAAATATTCGCCTCTATGACGAGTATACAGGCGCCACTAAATCGTAAACAGCTGAAAACGAATTTGGACGACGCGACAGCCATGATTCCCTAAATGGATGGCAGAAGTCGAAGTTGGGAAGGTCACAGGGACTCGAGAAACGCGAACACTTCCATAAATGTGGACAAAAGCCTGGAAATTCGAAAATTGCAAATATTACGATAAATTTAGATGAAAACCGGGAAATTCGAAAAACGCGAACGTTTCGACGAATCTGGACGAAATCCGGGAAATTTAATAAACGTGAACGTTTCGATAAATCTGGACCAAAGCCGGGAAATTCAATAAACGTGAACGTTTCGACGAATTTGAACAAAAATTTGGAAAATTCAATAAACGTTTCAGCGAATTTAGATAAAGGCCGGGAAATTCAAAAAACATGAACATTTCGACAAATTTAGATGACTGTCACAAAACTCAAAAATCGCGAACGTTTCGTCGAATTTAGATGAATTCGAGGAAATTCAAAAGACGCGAACGTTCCGTCGAATTTAGATCAATTCGTGGAAATTCAAAAAACGCGAACATTTGGACAAATTGGGACGAAAGCCGGGAAATTCGAAAAGCGCGAATGTTTAGACGATTAAACCTATACGCCTGAGTTCACCCTTCGCAGAGCCGTGGCTAGCGATTAGGATCGTTTACACAGCGAGTTCGATAAGCAGTATTGATTCGCGTGAAAATTTTCCTCAAACCACGGTTTGTTATCTGAACCCCGTCCGATTTAGGTTGCCAAGCTTTCGTGCCATCGACATCGGTTCCCGTATTTACTATAACGCGTTGTCATTTCCGTGACAAGCGGATGATCGAGCGAAGCGACCAACTACCGTCGCGAATTTTCAAACAATCTCAAATAGAAAACGGACGACACTTGCAGACATAATCATCCACGCCGTTTCGTCTGGGATTACGTGAAAGACGAATAGTACCTTGGACGAAGGATGTTCTTGGGCGTGTTCGAGTTTCAAAGACTTTCGAAGAAGCTGGTCCTTGGAAAAGAAACGAACTTTGTAACTCCCTGCACGGGATCGTAGAAACGATGGTATAATTGAATTTCATGCGCGCTGACGGAGCGAATTATAATACTATTGTAACCAACGTAATTTCGGAACGCTGAGTACCTTTTATCTTGGTATTAATTCGCATATATTAAAACTAACTTACGAACAATTTAAACACTTTGTATAACGAAAAAGAGACGAAATAACAAATAGAAATATAAGAAGGTACTCACAGCTGTGATCCAGTGGTCGATCAAAGCCCGGTCGTCCGGTTGGCTTACTTAAAATCGAGTTTAAGTAAGCATCAGGGTTGAATCCGTTCGTCAAAGTGCTCGACGACTTACTCCTATCGAAAACGTTTCACGAAAATGAAATCTCCGAGCGTCTTTCCTCGGTAAAATGTAAACCTTCGACACTCTGTCCTGTGATCGTCACAATTGGATCCTAATCGCGCGATTATCCGCGACGGAGAAAAAGAAACGAGAAAAGGAACAATGAGAGGAAAACGAAGAGAAAAACGAAGAAAAAAGCGAAAAAGAAAGCGGAGAAAGTGTAAAGAAGCACCGGAACAGTAGCCACGTCTGTTGGTGTACGATCGATCAACCCTTCGCGAGCGATTAGTCGATAAAAATCTTCCTTCGAGTCCGGGATAAATCCGCGAGGAAATTATCCCTCGGTCGATCCGAATCGAGGGATGTACGAGAGAACAATCGAACGATATCGAACGGTAAAGAGGAATATCAAACAACGAGCTGACGGGATGCTCGAAAGTGGAAACGGTGGTGGTTGCTCGCGTCGCGGCGCGCTGAGAACTGAACACCTTTCGACGCTGCTGGCCCGCGATGGGTCGGTGGAAGGAAAGCGAGTGGGGTTGCGTACGGAAAAACATGAAGAAGCAAGGGCGGAGAGGAAAAGGGTAGGCAGGAAGTTCCTCTATTTTTCAGGTGGAAAAGAAAGGACACGGATCGAACATAGGATCACGATCGGCATTAGCTAGCCCCGATGTCGGCTTAACATTTAACCTTTATCAACGACAGCTTATCGGTTGCTTCTTATCGCTGTGGGTCAATCAACGTGGGACAAGCGATCCCCCGGGCGTGGCGATAATTCTAGACACGGCGAAATTTCGGCATAAATTACGAGTGTTTGAGATAATTGGAATAATTGCTTCACAACGCGTTCTTAGAAACGAGTGGATATTCATCCGTACGTTTCATGGTAGCGAAATGTATGCGTTTTTTATCCCTTTTTCGGGGGATTTAAAATCTACTAATTTATATTTTAATATTCTTCGTACCGAGCTTATTTAATTAAATTAGAAGATCGATTGGTTTAATAGACAGAGATAAACGATCGAAGTTCGTAATCTAAGAGGTAAGCTGTAATAATTGGTTTAGAATTTTCAATATCTGATTTAAAATTAATAAACAGTTTCTTCGATGATTTGTTATGAAGAAAACAGGGAAAAAAGATAAGAAATATGTCAAGAATAATGGAGATGATAAGGAAGTGCTCCTCGATTTTAGGAATAGAAGTTAAGGAGACGTTTGTTTTGGGGATAAAGTGTAAATCCGATGAATGAAACGTAAAGAACTTTCAAAATTATATTTTACTTTTGCCACTCACCATCATCTTATTGCCGAGTCGCAGAGAGACCGTAAGCTGGTTTCATCTTCCCCAAGGAGAATTTCATTTTTTCCTTCGTTTCTTCTCTTGCAGGTCGCACATTCCATCATTCCGGAGATTACTTGGCTGAAAGCAGAATAAAACATTTAGGTTTATTCCCCGTGGACGAAAGGATCGAAAGCGCTACTTTCGTGGAAGGGAGGGACGGTGAAATAATTTTGTCAATGGAAAAATGAGGTTTGCGGTATATGAAATTTATCGGACCTCGAAATTATCGGGTAGACTACGTGAAAATGATGATAAAACGTAATTTCAAAGCTCTTCGAGTAACCTTAACGAATGAATCTTGATTACGGTAATTCCGTAAGTGATAGATAAATAATATAAATTAAACGAAGGGCGGGAAAAACAAAATCCACAGAAGATAGATATCTGCTATTGATAGCTTTATACCTTGTACGAAACCCGGTTACTGGCAGTCTAACAAAATACCAATGTCACCATCTGTTTCAGACACAGATGTTAGGATTTTATTAAAATCAGCTCAACCTTGAAGGGGTAGTGTAAAGACGCTAAATATAACGTAAAATGAAAACGTGATAACGTTATATGAAAGGATAAGATCCTTTGTAAAATTTTAACGAAGAACAGGTACGGTATAATAATTCACAAGTTGCTGCATCAAGAACCAGTCCCATTAACGAGATATCTACGTTAAATATGAAATATCAAATGTCAAATATAAAATATAAAGAATCATATTTGGAATACAATAAAGAACATCGACCTTCGATTCGGTTAGTAATATAATTACGAAAAAATAAGATTTATTTTGAAATAGTGTATTTTGAATCATCTCGGAAATATTAAAGGACTATAAACATGGAACTATATCTAGGATTACGAAATCGAAGTATCTATAGGTAACGAATTAATATTGCGCAACGGAAATTCAAAGATTAAATAAAATGAGTAACGAATAATCATTCTATTATTATCTCGACCTGAAACTCCGAAAATTCGCGTGCTCTAATCAACAAACGAAATTTCCAAAATATAGTCGAAAAGAGTCAATTGCGCAGCACGAACTGCCCACTTCCACTTCCGTCGCTGACTTTCGACGTTGAACAGACGAAATAAAAAAAAAAAAACAAGTGAAATAATTACAGAAAAATCTATTCTACCAACATAAATCGAAAAATGTTAATCCACAATCGAAATTTCAGAAATCTAAGCGAAAAAAATCAACTCAGCTGCACAACCTGTCACACAATTACACTTCCGTCTCTACATTTCGACACTACACAGAAAAAATACGAAAAAAATCATAAAACTCGATAGAGAACAATTCACTCTATGGGGATAGATGGAAAAAATCCGGTCACGAAGCGAAATTCCGAAGATCGAAATCAAAAAATCCTATTACGCAGTACGACCTGTCATACCCCGCACATTCGGCTCTATCTTACGGCACTGAGCTCCCGAAATCACAAAAAAATCATCAAAATGGACAGAGAACAGCTCACTCTACAGGAATAGATGGAAAAAATCTGGTCCTGCCCCGAAATTCCGAAGATCGAAATCAAAAAAGGGTATTACGCAGTACAACCTGTCACCCGCCCGCACATTCGGCTCTATCTTACGGCACTGAGCACTCGAAATCACAAAAAAATTATTAAAATGGAAAGAGAACAGTTCACTCTACAGGGATAGATGGAAAAAATCCGGTCCTGCCCCGAAATTCCGAAGATCGAATACAAAAAAGTCTATTACGCAGTACGACCTGTCCCCCTCCCGCACATTCGGCTCTATCTTACGGCACTGAGCACTCGAAATCACAAAAAAATCATCAAAATGGACAGAGAACAGCTCACTCTACAGGAATATATGGAAAAAATCCGGTCCTGCCCCGAAATTCCGAAGATCGAAATCAAAAAAGCCTATTACGCAGTACGACCTGTCACCCGCCCGCACATTCGGCTCTATCTTACGGCACTGAGCACTCGAAATCACAAAAAAATTATTAAAATGGAAAGAGAACAGTTCACTCTACCGGGATAGATGGAAAAAATCAGGTCCTGCCCCGAAATTCCGAAGATTGAAATCAAAAAAGTCTATTACGCAGTACAACCTGTCACCCGCCCGCACATTCGGCTCTATCTTACGGCACTGAGCACTCGAAATCACAAAAAAATTATTAAAATGGACAGAGAACAGCTCACTCTACAGGGATAGATGGAAAAAATCCGATCCTGCCCCGAAATTCCGAAGATCGAAATCAAAAAAGCCTATTACGCAGTACGACCTGTCACACGCCCGCACATTCGGCTCTATCTTACGTCACTGAGCACTCGAAATCACAAAAAAATTATTAAAATGGAAAGAGAACAGTTCACTCTACCGGGATAGATGGAAAAAATCAGGTCCTGCCCCGAAATTCCGAAGATCGAAATCAAAAAAGTCTATTACGCAGTACGACCTGTCACCCGCCCGCACATTCGGCTCTATCTTACGGCACTGAGCACTCGAAATCACAAAAAAATCATCAAAATGGAAAGAGAACAGTTCACTCTACAGGGATAGATGGAAAAAATCCGGTCCTGCCCCGAAATTCCGAAGATCGAAATCAAAAAAGTCTATTACGCAGTACGATCTGTCACCCGCCCCCACATTGGGCTCTATCTCACGGCACTGAGCACTCGAAATCACAAAAAAATCATCAAAATGGAAAGAGAACAGTTCACTCTACAGGGATAGATGGAAAAAATCCGGTCCTGCCCCGAAATTCCGAAGATCGAAATCAAAAAAGTCTATTACGCAGTACGACCTGTCACCCGCCCGCACATTCGGCTCTATCTCACGGCACTGAGCACTCGAAATCACAAAAAAATCATCAAAATGGACAGAGAACAGCTCACTCTACAGGAATAGATGGAAAAAATCCGGTCCTGCCCCGAAATTCCGAAGATCGAAATCAAAAAAGCCTATTACGCAGTACAACCTGTCACCCGCCCGCACATTCGGCTCTATCTTACGGCACTGAGCACTCGAAATCACAAAAAAATTATTAAAATGGAAAGAGAACAGTTCACTCTACCGGGATAGATGGAAAAAATCAGGTCCTGCCCCGAAATTCCGAAGATTGAAATCAAAAAAGTCTATTACGCAGTACGACCTGTCACCCGCCCGCACATTCGGCTCTATCTTACGGCACTGAGCACTCGAAATCACAAAAAAATTATTAAAATGGGAAGAGAACAGCTCACTCTATAGGGATAGATGGAAGAAATCCAGCCCTGCCCCGAAATTCCGAAGATCGAAATCAAGAAAGTCTATTACGCAGTACGACCTGTCACACCCCCGCACATTCGGCTATATCTTACGGCACTGAGCACTGGAAATGCGAAAAAAATCTTCAAACTCGTTAAAGAATAATTCACTGTCCGCGGATAAGTGAAAATATTCCGGTCGCGACGCGAAATTTCGAACATATATGCGATAACATGAAGCTATGCAAAACGTTTGACAATCGCTTGTAATTCCATCGCTTTATCTCGCAATTGAGCCGTTCAAATAGAATAAGTATTGTACAGAAGAATTAGGAAACTGCCCTTACCGACCTATGTCAACCAGAGGTAATGGATAATAGAAGTCTGGAATTATACATTTATACATACAAACGTAACACATTTATACCGTTTGCAATCCCGCTTCGTTATTAAGAAACTGCCTATTCAGAGCAATGTTGATTAAATATTTCATTGGACAATCGAAATCTGCAATCTACGGTTTATGATATGTAACTATGCTATTGTATTATACGAGCTGCACCCCTGCTACTTTATGTCGCACATTTTGTATATGCATTATATAGCCTCACTTCGCATACTGCCACATTATTCATCTTGAATATATATTTCCTGGGTTGCAACAATTAAAATATCTATTACTGTTAACACTTCTTCGTGAAACATCTTGCGAAGACATTAAAACTTTTACTTTAGTACGCGAAGATATTCCGCCACGTGTTACCGGTATGTTCGACTGACGTTGACTGCGATCGGTGGTGAAGCTGGGCCTCTTGGCGGGAAGATGTTTGATGCTTGGAATAGCCATGTGCTAATGTATCTGTGTATACTACCAAACGATACCTCTCATATTTATTAGAACAATAAAGCAAATAGAAATATGTATCTGTTACGAATATAACGAAAACGGTTTAATCTTCACGAGAAAAATGTTATAAATGAATAAAGTTAGTTATAAAATTAGTAATAAAAATATATATTATATATTATATAAGGTCTTGACACGTTTCGTGCCCCGCCGACTCCTTTCGTGACGTCATTATCGGTAGACAGTTCGCTGATTGGACGAGAAGCAGCTTGCCCTTCCGTTTCCTATACGCGGCAGACCGAGAAATTTTGAAATTGTTCGAGCAAAGGCAAGCAAGGAAACACGCTGGTTAGTTTCAAAGCCATAACAAATTCTCAGTGTTTTGATTTCGTCTCTTACTCCTACTCGAACCGCTGACTTCTTTGAAAGTCAATTGTTCTAACAAATGTTTTGGAATGTAACATGGTATTTAACGAAGTGATGTCTCTGCCTACTATATTCAGCAAATTTAACGGTCCGTCGCTCATTAGATGTAGAAGGCGGGTGGGGGGTGCCTCTTGACGAATCAGCGAGCTGTTTAGAGGACATTACGTCTTGACGGGATTAGTCCAGTACGAAAACTTGTGGCGTTCGGACGTGTGATGTACAGAGGGAACCAAGCGCGGCTTATCTGCTGCACAGTACGTTCATTTCTTTTCTTTTATCATTCGTACTCTACTGTTGACTTTCTTTGATTAACACATGCTTGTTTATCAATTTGTTGAACATTATTATAGTAAATCTATCTCGTCCTTTACGCCTTTTCTGGTTTTATAATTTTGTATTAGTTGTTGAAGTTATCAGTTGTTTAAATTTAAATATGGTTGTTTAATTTTATCATAATTAGTTACATTTTCGTATATTTGTCTCAAATTTTATATTTTCTTCTGTGCAGATCATTAATGGATTGCAAAAATCACGTAAGACGCATTAGACGCCTACGTGCGAAATTGCAAACCAAATATGGCCGCCAACGAATATATTTGAGAAGCAAACATGGCCACCAACGAACTTTCTGGAGAACGGAGTATGGACGCCATGATGGTTAGTCTTCAAATCTGCTAATTTTTCGTGAAGATTGGTAATATTGAACTTTTTATAACGAAATCGAGGCAAAATGGGTTTATAAGTATTAGAAACATCGGTAATTTGATGTGTTGTATTATAATACATAATTAATATTCGATTCTTGAATTGAAAATAAATTTATTAGACGTGTTATATTTCAAGAAGAAATTGAAATAACTCACATTTTAATTCGACCGCGAGCATTTTATAACGTCATAATAATTTACTCTTAAATAATAATTTTTATTATTTCTACAAAAGAGTCGTAATTACAGACGCGATTTATTTCCGACGCGAACAATTTCCGACGGAAGCCTAAAATCGGTTAGTGCGCAGTATGATTGCGCAGACATATTTTAATATGTCTACTAATGAATAGTCTCATATAATTTCTTCCAGTTTTATTACGGTACGATACTTCTAATATTTTCCATTTATTCGACAACACGGGGGTCGATCAGGCAGGAATTTATAAATACAGCAGTAGTTTTTCTTAACAAACGTTCGACAGGGAGACGAACTCTCCACACCATTCCCCTCTCCCCGCTAATTTTTTTCTTTCAGGAATCTTGGTGGTCGCGCGCAATGCGGCCGGTAGAGTCCAGTGTTTGCGTTTCAAGTGTCATGTTTCCTTCTCCGAGCCCAGTAGCTCTTACAAAATATATACGCGAAGATAGAGTCAGTGTTTGTTCGCCGATTAGAATTTAAGCGGTCGCGTTAATAATCTTTTATTTTTCTTTTTTTTTTTTTTTCATACCTTTTTTCCTAAATATTCGTTACCGGTATTAAAGTCAGTTCTTGCCTGGAGAGGATCCAACGCGGTGCTCTAGAAGCCAAGAATGTAAGTATATTTGTACGTTGTAAATTAATTATTTTTAGTCTTTTTAATTTGTTTTAATAGTTATTAATTATGAGACAAAAGAAATAAAAATGTAGAGTTTGATAGAATTCAAACTGTTATATTAATGTTTCAATTTTTCACTATTTAAAATTTTTTAAATTAAATTTTGTCTGTAGGAACGGACTATAATATTCGATTCTCTGTTACAGATTTTTGCAGCCACTTTTCCATGCAACCAGTGAGTCTACCTTCATGACAACCTTCACAATGATGATCTTCACGACGTCGGTTTTCTTCACGACTTCTTGCCAGCAATTGCAGCCATGTTCTCCGCATCATTGGTGAGTCGCATGCTTTTTGGTTCCTCTGGTCACTCAGTCATGTCGTAGGATGAAAGATCCAAATCGACACGAGTGATTGGTTGTATTACGTAGAGTTTTTGATGAGCATAGTGACCAGGGGTATTTATTCTACCCGTGAGTAGTTACAAAATGTCTTCTGTGTTTTATTTATTAATTTAGGATAGGTTTTCTTGCACATCGCGTTTCCGAATAATGATAATAAAAATATGGATAGTTGGCTCATAGTATATTGAAATAAATAATACAGTATTGTTAATTAGTTTACTATAGAATAAATATTGAAATAAATATTTGAATACCGATATGTTGGAATATTTTGTAGTGCAGAAGTCGAATGCCCTTCGACTTCGTTACTATGAAAATTATAATTATGACACAGCAACAATGATTATATATCTTATCATTGTTGTTTTAATAAATAAATGCCAATTCCATTTTTTGCTTTTTGCTAATGTTGAATAATTTAATAATTTAATTAATTTTCTTTCGTTCAAAAAAGTATTGGATATTACGTGCAAGAAAACATTTCGCGAAAGATAGATTTTGGAATCAAAGCAATAAACATGAACTCTATTTTTGTTTTCGAAAATGTGCTTTGATGAAGAAATCATCTGAGATTATTTTTATTGCTTTTCAAATTAGAGTCAATTATTTCATTACGTCGAGTCTTTGTGTTTGCTTTCACGAATAAATTCCTTGTTCATTATCAATATTTTTTTTCAATATTCAAATTTCAATAATTCTTTAATTTTATAAAGTAGAGTCATTGCAGATAAATTACAAAAATACAAGATGAAAGAACGTTAGTCCGTTAAATAAACGCTGTATGCACTGATCATGCTTTTAGTTCAGGATTTTCAGGTTTAACCCTTTCCGTGTTCATTGCCAGGAACCCACTCACGTGCCCAGGTGTTACTTGGCTGGGTGAAAGGCAATGGGCATGATGACCATAGTTCATAAGATTATAATGTTTTTTAGCGGCTGACGATGAGTTAGGGTATTGTGCACGACGTATTTTCCACATTGTGTGTGTGGTTAGGTTGTGGAATTACGTCGTTCGTACAATTGCTTCCCTCGTTTTTCCGAATATTTATGAATTTTGAGAATTCGTGAATATTAATCGCAATAGTAGAACATAATCCGCTATTAAGTACAACGGATTACAGATAGTATAAACGCGGTAATGTTACCAATTTTCGTACTTCCGCGATTATGAATTTTTTT